ATCCAGGAAGGACTTTTGGTTAAATAATTCAGAGTGGACTTTTGGTCCAATGATTTAGAATGGACTTTTGGTCCAATGATTCACGATGGACTTTTGGTCTGATAATTTAATATGGACTTTTTGGTTCGGTGATTCAGGGTGGATTTTTGGTCTGATAATCCAGGAAGGACTTTTGGTTAAATAATTCAGAGTGGACTTTTGGTCCAATGATTTAAGATGGACTTTTAGATCAGAAATTCGGGATGAATTTTTGGTTCTATGATTTAGGATGGACTTTTCAAACGCTAATGGTTCCAGAAACTTGTCTTAATAACCATAAAACATTTACAATATTAGTTTATATTTGCTGGAGATGATTATTGAAATGGTTAAATAAACCAAGAGACGTTAAGTTTCTCACCTTGAATTTGATCTTTTTTTCTTCTTCTGTCGCCATTTTGACTGATTTTATAGAAATGGGTGGTAAGGACGGACGCCATTGAGGAATGATATTTGTTATTTTTTTCATTGTTATAAAATAAAAGTCAACTGATCACGTCACAAATGTCAAAGTTCAACTTCTCAAGCCCCAGGTCACCAAATGTTCGTGTTTTCCTATAATTATCATTGCAATCCTGGCGTTCCTGTATTTGCTGCAATAATAAAGAATGAATAAAATTAATAGTCGTGGGATAATTAACAACATAACAACATCTAAATATCTATACGATCTTCGAACTTTTGTGGAAAGTATCTTAAGATTGAGGTTAGGTTTTTACATTTATCTGCTCAAAAGCAGTTATTCAAGGATTGTTGGTAAGAAAAACACTATGAAAGTATTCAGTAACAAAGATGTTTGAAGTTTACAATTTGAGGGAAAACTGGTGCTCTTCAGTTCCATTGGTTTATATAAAACATGCTCCAGTTATGCTTTCACATAATCAAATTCCCTCAATATTCCTTGTGCTCCTCATCTTGAGTCGTTATCATTTTTCATTGATGATCGGAATGACCCTCAGTGAGTCAGCGGTCTTACAGCGCTAAAATTCAGTGTTCGATTCCCTCTTGCGGACAGACAGAAGCTAACCTATTGTGTAGCCTTGTGCACAAACAACCAATGATCCGATCTTTTATACGAGGTTTGATTCATCTAGTACTAGAGCCCACATATTTCTCCACTCAAGAATCACAGACAACTTTGATTCATCTAATGCTAGAGCCCACATATTTCTCCACTCAAGCAGCACAGACATCTTTGATTCATCTAATGCTAGAGCCCACATATTTCTCCACTCAAGAAGCACAGACATCTTTGATTCATCTAGTACTAGAGTCCACATATTTCTCCACTCAAGAAGCACAGACATCTTTGAAACAAAATAATTTTATTATCATGATAGGCTTAAGGGCCACCTACGCATAGTTGTGCCTAATTTTGAACTCATAGTCTAGAAGGAAGATAGTTAATCAGCAGCACCCACCAAAACTCTTGTCTGTCACTCTTATAACGCACCAACGGCCACAAAGTGCAGTGCGCGTATTTTTCTGGTCGACAACTCTTAATGATCAGATTCACAAAACGGTCACGTTAACCAGTGGGCCATAACCGGCCCAGATAGAGTTAAACATACATCGAATTTCAGAGTTGTAGAAAAACTCCGCCCAATGTTAACAATCATTTCTTACATAAATACTGTGACCATTGTCCAACATATGGTAATACTATTACTGTTGGTTTCCTTGGTACATAAAATTTGAGGAGTTTAGGGGTAGTAAACTAACTTAACATATCACTGCTATTGCTATCAGTGAAATCACTATCGAACCCATTAATTTTAGAAAGTATTTAATGCAGTTTACTTCACCGTATAATATAGAATAACTGTTTTACAATCCTGTAGTCACAATTAATAAGTACTTTAACTAAACTTACTTTAAATACTTTACTAAAATGGGTAGAAAGTCCTGAGAAAGATAGTTTGTAATATACACCTGCTTTAACTTTACATTACCAGTATAGTATCCAAGAAAGGTAACATAGATCCTTGTTGACATTCAGTCTTAAACTTTATATTTCAAATAGTCATCAACATGCCTCTGTTACTGAAAAATACTAAACACATTATTAACAAATCTTCTATACGAAAGCGGTTTGAGTTCAATAGGTCACTTCTTCACTCTTCCGTCATTGTTAATCCTGAAAACTCAAACAAATTGGCCACAGCATATGAGCTGTTAGCTTTGATCACATAGTAACACCATCATTGTGGTCATAAGTTGTTCCAATGAACACAAAATGTGATTGTTTGGCAGAAAATTACATCAGCTCAGAGAATATATGTTTAAGAATCCATTCACTGTGTTTGTAGAAGACAAAACCAGTTCGAAACATAAATTAACAGTTTCTTGCTGCGGAAGGTTGATGTTAAGAGACTCCACGTCAAAAGTTATTGTATACTCTGAATCACAGTGTGTGTTGTTTAAAGTCGAACTGACCAATTAAGAATTTGGGAGAATTTAATAACTGTAAACATCTATTGAATCAACAGAGATGAACTACACCATTTTTCTTGAAATCATAAACTTAAAATAATGTACATAATAGACGTTTTTATTTTTTAGCATATTTCATCCGTAAACTTACCCGAAACAAGTGCAGGACAAGTGTTTTGAATGTTGTGCCTTAAGTTAGTTAACACGTCGATATACAAAATGAACGTAATTGAATAATAAAAAAAAGAAACAACCAAAACACAAACACGAGTGTTTAGATGGAAAATTAACAAATAAGTCAGTGGTTTTGGTTTTCAGTTTTGTGATATTTTTATGTGATTGTTTTCCCTTGAGGCTAGACACATTGACGTTAAGCTGATGAAAACACAAACAGCATTCAGTGATGACGTACATTGTTTGTCGTCTACGGCTAAGTTTATTTTTGTTTTAAAATTTATTTTAGTATATGTAGAAGTCTCTTTCAACCTTTGTCTTTGATGATTTTATTAAAAAACATAAGTCCCCCCCTACCCACCCATATAACAGGAGAGAACTTACCGCGGTAAAACATGTCTCTGTACATAGTAGGACATTGGAGATCCTGAAAAGGATGCGAAATTCAATTATCTGGTAAATACTGAGTTACAACACAATGAATGTTACAGTTTTGTTAAATACTCTAAGTTATTATATATTGTTAGTTTGTTGAAACACTTTCAAACAATACATGCTGTAATTATGTTAAGACAATAAATAATGTAATTTGTTGAATACTGTTAACACAATGAATAATGTAATTTGTTAAATACTGTTAACATAATAAATAATGTAATTTGTTGAATACTGTTAACACAATAAATAACGCAATTTGTTAAATACTGTTAACATAATAAATAATGTAATTTGTTGAATACTGTTAACACAATGAATAATGTAATTTGTTGAATACTGTTAACACAGTAAATAATGTAATTTGTTAAAAACTGTTAACACAATAAATAATACAATTTGTTAAAAAAACAAATTGCATTATTTATTGTGTTAACAGAATTCAACAAATTACATTATTCATTGTGTTAACAGTATTCAACAAATTGCATTATTTATTGTGTTAACAGTATTCAACAAATTACATTATTTATTATGTTAACAGTATTTAACAAATTGCATTATTTATTGTGTTAACAGTTGTGTTAACAGTATTTAACAAATAACATTATTTATTGTGTTAACAGTATTCAACAAATTATATTATTTATTATGTTAACAGTATTTGAACTCTTCTGGAACCATCCTCAAAACACATGAAAGGTTTTCTTCGCTTCTGACGTTTACTTAAATCGTCGCTTTTGTCGGATTTTTTTTTTTCGGACGTGATTACATCCACGCATCTTGTATTGGTAACATCCCGAAGATTTGCGATTCCTCGCTGGTCAGCTTCGAAACTGACGCCTCCGACATTTGTCCGGAGCGTGACTGGTGTATGTATTTTTGAAGAAAAGTAGTGAAATCACGTCAGAACAACCGATGGCCAAAGGCCAATTTTCATCAAAACTTTTGCACTAACCCAACAAAAAAAGATATCGTATCTTTGTAAGAAACCCCCTCTCATCCGTTTCATCAGTCTGACAAATTTTCAGGAAATACAACAAAAATCCTGAGTATAACTAGTTGCGAGTGGTTTAACGAACACGCTCTGGTAAAGTCAAATATCTCTTGTTGTAAATATATAATCAAAAACAAAAAACAAAATATCTCGAAAAAAGAAAACAATAGCATCACGGAGTTGTCGAGTGTAATAACTGGGGGGAGGTGGGTCTTTCTTTTCCCCCCAAAAGATAGAAAACGACGAAACAAAGTCTTTGGATAAGTATCGTTAAGTTGCGTAACAAGACTCTACTATCAATTTTTTTATGGAAGGCATGAAATCAATTTCAAACTTTCGTAGCAAATTTTAAACTCTTTTTTTCTTTTTTTTAAGTTCGAGAGTTAATCTGGATATCATATAGTGTTTTACAACTTACCTTACGCCGATTGAAATCGATGTTCGTTCTCAGCAAACGATGGTGCCTATCTTGAATTGGCCTAAAATTGTTGACTAGGGGTGCTTTTGGGTTCTCTGGTTCTCCTTGCATTAGCTGCCTAAGAGCGTAAAGCTGTCGAGTAAATAAAAATAAATCAACAGCTAAGATTTTGAATAAAAAACGAAAATAAATAATTGGTAGTTTTGTCATCATCAGGAACAAAACCTTGTCGAAACGTTGTACATTTGCTGTTATGTTAAACTTATATTAAAGTTTTTCTTCATTACCCATTCAAGCCGTCTCCAGCCATTATTAGTCTCAAAGTGGGTTCCTCGTCATCGATTTTGAAACAGGTGCTAGTTGTGTTTGGTTTGTTTGTTTTGAATTTCGCCCAAAGCTACACGAGGGCTATCTGCGCTAGCCGTCCCTAATTTAGCAGTGTAAGACTAGAAGGAAGGCAGCTAGTCATCACCACCCACCGCCAACTCTTGGGATACTCTTTTACCAACGGCTAGTGGGATTGTCCGCACATTATAACGCCCCCACGGCTGAAAGGGCGAGCATGTTTGGTGTCACGAACCCGAGTCCCGCAAATTGCGAGTCGAGTGCCCTAACCAACTGGCCATGCCGGGCCTGGCCCTCCCAAATATCTAGAAATTATAAAATATTATGACCTTCTAAGTTTTCTCGTTAAAAGAATTCAAGTTAAAGATGAAAATACCGTACAACGCGTACGTATACACGTACTTTGTTAATGTTACTCCAGAAAAGAAAAATTAATTAATCCTCTCTCTACTACGACTGGTTTTGTTTGTTTGTTTTGAATTTCGCGCACAGCTACACGAGGGCTATCTGCGCTAGCCGTCCCTAATTTAGCAGTGTAAGGCTAGAGGGAAGGCAGCTAGTCATCACCACCCACCACCAACTCTTGGGCTACTCTTTTACCAACGAACTGACCGTCACATTATAACGCCACCACGACTGAAAGGGGGAGCATGTTTGGTGTGACGGGGATTCGAACCCTCGACCCGCAGATTGCGAGTCGAGTGCCCTAACCACCAGCCTACTACTACGACTGGACTTGTAGAAATGTATAAAGACACAAGGTTTTGAACTGAGTAAGGATGAGTCACACAATAAACGAGTACGTTTGGTGTGACGGGGATTCGAACCCTCGACCCGCAGATTGCGAGTCGAGTGCCCAAAACACCAGCCTACTACTACGACTGGACTTGTAGAAATGTATAAAGACACAAGGTTTTGAACTGAGTAAGGATGAGTCACACAA